CCAGTCCACGAGACATCCTCTCTCGCTTTTGCTGAAAGCGAGCTGAATTTTCGTCCATCATATGATGAACTTCATCAGAGCTGGAACTCATTCTTATGCTAGCACTAGAACAAGGGACTCTCAATGTGTTCCTTTTTTATGTAATCACAAATGGAGTATGACAACCTGATGGAAATTAATTCAATGCTGAATGTGGCTCAAGCCTTAGTCGAGTCGCTAAAATGCAATATGTTAGGCTAATTAGACAAATGCCTGGCTTTGTCATCGCAGTCGCAAATGAAGCGAGACGAACTCGGCAACTTATTTAAAATTTGTTTGACCTTAGTTTAGCAACTTGGTCATATTAGCAGGAAGACCTAGATTAACGCACCTTGTCTGGAGTCCATAGTATGCATGATCATTTCCAAAGTCGGACCGTGGACTTGGTACAACCCCAGACGTTTCACCGGCATCGTACTCGGCATCATCAGTGAGTCTTGTCGGTCTCAGCAACCAAGCTACAAGGTGTCACCGCTGCAACCAAGAGTTCTTATGCGGAACCTGGACGACTACTTTGCAATATGGTCGCATGGGGTTGATGAAAAAGTCAAATTCATAATGGATGTAGAGGAAGAGTGGTGTTTGACTTTCCTAGATGTGGATATCATTCGTTCTAATGGGACACTCAAAAGGAAATTGTTCAGAAATAAGTATTCTGCCGGAATGATACTCAACTTCGAATCGCATCAGAACTACAGAATGAAGATAGGCATACTGAGGAGCATGATGATCATAAGCCTACGATAAACGGACATGGAACTATGGAATGAAGGAGTGGAAAAAATGACTCGGATATTCCTCGGTAATGGATATCCAAGAGAAGTAATTCAAAGAAATATACTGGCCGTGAAGAGCCGATGGCAGGACGGAGATCATGAAAGAAAGATAAAGATAGAAAACAACTGGCAAAAGTGGATGTCTCCCTTCCTGTGAACTAGCTCAAAAACTACAGTTAATATTGTGAAAATGTAATATTTATGTGACCTGGAAGGAAAAAACAACACTTCACAAGCCTACCCATGCAGCACAAGGAATGATAATAGCATAACCATCTTTACAGTAAGTTGGTCAAAGGATTGACTTCACTTGTCTCTTTGACGAGTTGCAGCTTGGTTGCTGAGAATGGTAAGACTCATTGATGATGCCGACCACGATGTCGGCAGTGGGAATGTACCAAGTCCACGGTCCGACTCTGGAAATGTTCATGCATACTATGGACTCCGAACATGATGCGTTACTCTAGGTCTTCCTGCTAATATGACCAAGTTTCAAAGCCAAGGTCAAACAACTCCTATACAACAAAAGGCGACCGCGGCCATACAAAAGGCTACATCATCCTAGTCTTCATACCTTCGATTAAGCAACTTACTATTTTACAACATTACCTGCCCATAGTTAAAAAAATTTCCTGAATTAATTATTTTAGCCCTAGATTTCGTCATCCATTTTAGCGTGTATTGATTGTTATGATGCGTTCAAGCCGGAGGTATCCTGTCTAATATTTTTGCCTATTTTTTCTCTCTTTAGGTGGGTAATCTTCCATTCCGCCGAGTATGTAAGCGTCTTGGAGCCGATATAACCTGTGGAGAAATGGCTCTTGCAGCCAATCTTTTACAGGGTCAGCAAAGTGAATGGGCTCTGCTGCGACGTCACAGTTCTGAGAATCTTTTTGGAGTTCAGGTACTGATAGTTAGAATTCACACAAAAATCGCGCCCTTTCTTAACTTGGTTTATATGCTAATTGTAAATCGGACTCAGTTATTACTATATGAATAAGACACATTTTATTTGCTTAGTTTGGGTGTCATCTTCCCAGTTCTAAATGCTTTGCATATAAATAAACTGCTCCATAAATGGATATAATTTAATCTAACAGAATATTTGAAAACCTTCCCGGAAATAAAGCTTTTTGCAAATTTGAGATACACTAGTATTACCAACATTATGAATAAAACCAGTTTTTTCCTGTTTAGGGATTATCCAACTATTCCAACGATGTTAAGAAAATATTATTCGGATGCCAAGCTTAAATGGTGGAACGTACTACAGCATTGACATTTTTTATCCCGATTCTTCTTACATCATTATACCGTCAACTTTTTCACATGGCTCACTCATTTTGAAACTCATTAAGATTAATCGAAGATATGAAGACCAAGATAGTTTGGCTCTCGGTATGGTCGCAGTCTCCTTTCGATGTATGGAAGTGGGTTGACCTCGTTTTCGTAACTTGGTCTTGTTGTCAGGGCGACTTAGTTGGACGTACTTTGTCCGAAGTCCTAATTAAATTTAACCTGAATTAAAAATGCGAATACCTAATCATATTAATGGGCGTTTGTTAGTAGAAATTTGCTCGTAAAGTTATTAAGTATGAAATAAGTATTAAATAAGATATTTCGGCCTTATAAGAGTTTTATCTTTATGAAGCTGTCTAGTGCCCTGATGTATCATTTAAGCCTGATCTTTATGTTTAAATTATGCAAATCTCTGATAAATGCATTAAATTACATATAAACTGAGTCTCTGTACGCTAAGCAGCCAATTTTAATTTATCATCAACATTAATCTTAATGAAGTGGATTGACCTCATTTTCGCAACTTGGTCTTTTCGTCAGGGCGACTTAATTGAACGCACCTTGTCCGAAGTCCTCTGCCTTAATAATTATCATAATTCTTTGGAAATGATCATGCATACAATGGACTTCGGACTTAGTGCGTTCCTCTAAGTCTTCTATAAATATGGCCAAGTTGCGAAAACAAGGTCAAACAACTTCTAACTTTAATTATGTTTCTTAAGCTATTTTACCCTATTACTATTTATTTCATAAGGCTTATACTTGTTCCTCTTGGTTGATTCGATGCTCCCTTCTCCACTTCTGTGTCTCCATTGCGGCCCCAGAGTTTTCGGAAATTAGCTTGATGCCCCACTGCTCTGAACGATCACCACGAAGAACGAGTCACCCACTTCAATTTTTCATATCCGATGGCTTAAGCTGAAGCAGCATTTACCAATTGAAGAACGCACAAATACTCTATAATTTGTCTGCTCGCTTAACAGTGTCTTGAAGTTATTTTCTTAAATTCACTGATTACTTACACTCATAGGGATTGTCTCTACTTGATAAAAGCATTTTATACACGAGGAAAATGAGGGTCGTTCATCTTAAGCGACCTAGAGTGACTATAGTTCCTAACCTTAAAAATTGTCTTGACTAATTTTTATATTCAATAGTGTCGCTTAAGCAATGCCAAAAAAGTACGAAAATATCCCTATTAAAGTGAAAGATTTCCATTTTTGATTGGTCATCAATAATTAGTGTACCCGCGATAAATAGTCCTTGATGATTATATCCTTTTTTTTCAGAGATCACA